CATATTTATACTGCATATAACCTATGACCAGAATATATAAAGAATTCTTACAGCTCATTAATAGACAACCCAATTAAAAAGTAGACACAAGAAGTTGATAAATAGCCAGTACAGCACAAAGAAAGGCGTGCAACACTAGAATCAGAAAACTACTAATCAGCACAATAACAAGATTGAATTATATAGGTAGAAGGATAGGGGAGGGTTAGCAGTGAGGCCAGAGGACAAGGGCGAGAGAAGGAAAAAGAGAAGAAAAGAAAAAGAAGAACCAAATTAGGGCCAGAACATGAACAAAAAGGGAAATGAAGAACTATGAGGTCTATATAAATAGGGAACAGTGGAGGGGGTGAAGGGCGCACAGGTAATGGGGAAAAAATAAGAACCGAGATATATCATGTACAGGTCCAAGCACCCAACGACATATGTAAACGTACTGTATACCTAAAATGTACCAATAAAAGAACTTAAGAATAAAAAAAAAAAAAAAGATTGAATTATACACTCATTAGGGAGATGAAGCTAAAAGTTTTAAAAGAACAAATGTCAGCTTAGGTGTGAACCAATTAGAACTTTCTAATACTGCTAATGTGAATGTAAAATGATAAAACCATTTTGGAAAACAATATAGAACTTTCTTATATTACTGTTAAGAACCAACAGTCCTGTTCTTAAGTTTTTACCTGAGAGGAATGAAAACACATGTTCACAATAGATTTGTACATGGAAGTTGAGTATCCCTTATCTGAAATTCTTGGGACCAGCGTGTTTCAGATTTTTGTTTGAAATCCACTTGATCTGCAAAGAGGATAACTACTCCTGCTTTTTTTTTCAGGTTCCTGTCACATGGAGTATTGTTTTCCACCCTTTAACTTCCAGACTATGAGTTTCTTTTTGAATTAAATGTGTTTCTTGTATGTAGCATTACTGACAGATCTTGCTTCTTGACCCATTCTGCCAATCTATTTCTTTTGATTGGTGAATTGAGACCATTAACATTGATGGTTACAACTCATACATATTGACTTATCACGGTCATGGCTTTTTCTGTTTGTTGGATTCTCCCCCTTTGCATTTAATTTCTTGTCATGTCGGACGGATTCATTCTACTGGGCTTCCTGGGGTTGTGATCCTCCTTGTCTTTTCCTAGGGTATTGTCTAAAATTTTTTGGAGTGCTGGTTTGGTATTCGTGAAGTTCCTAAGGTGCTCCTCGTCCTGAAAGTATCTTATTTCTCCATCGATTCTGAAAGATAATTTTGCAGGGTACATCAATCTGGGTTGGAGGCTGTTTTCTTTTAGGGCTTGAAATACATCACTCCAAGCTCTTCTTGCCTTGAGGGTTTGCATTGAGAAGTCTGCTGTGATTCTGATGGGCTTTCCTTTGTATGTGACTTGTTTCTTTTCTCTCACTGCTTGTAGAACTTTGTTCTTCTGTTGGGTTTCTGGAATCTTAACTATTATATGCCTATGTGTAGATCTTTTTTTCCTGGTCACTAATTGCAATCATCTTCTATATCTGAAATTCTGTCCTCACATTGGCTCATTCTGCTGCGTAGACTTGCAATGGAGTTTTTAATCTCCTGGAAATCTGTTTGCATCTGTTTCATTGAGTCCATTTGTTTCCTATGTTGGGATTCCATCATGTTCCTGAGCTCCTCTCTAGATTTACTAATCATGTCTTGCACCATGAGCACAATCTCTGCTGTTATCTGAGAAATTATTTCTGACTTCATTTTTTCCAGATCCTCTCTTGTTGCCAGTTCAGGGAGTCCAGGTGGTTGAAATCAGAGTGTTCCATCTCATTTCCCTTTGGGGTTACTGTAGGTGATCTAGAAGTCTGTTTTTGAGACTTGTTTATGTGTCTTCTCATTTCAACAGGAGTGGGGTAAGAGGGTGGGGGTGCACCTCCTGTGTGCTCGTGGGGGTGGTACGGTGGCCCAGAAGCCTCCTGTTGTGCACTGGGAGCAGCTCACCTCCTGCATGCTGGCGGGGGTGGTACAGCAGCCTGGAAGCCTCCTTTTGTCCACTGGGAGCAGCTCACCTCCTGCATGCTGGCGGGGGTGGTACAGCAGCCTGGAAGCCTCCTTTTGTCCACTGGGAGCAGCTCACCTCCTGCATGCTGGCGGGGGTCTATAATCTTTTTATTTGTGGATAAAATGTACGGAATAGTGGAAAAAACACTGGTGTTGAAGTCAGAAATAGGAATTTCACTCTCAGATCTTAAGAGAAGTAATTGTGTCACCTCTTGGCCTTTGCAATTTTAAGAATCTTAATCTATAACACAGTAGTAATAAAAGGAACTGAAAATTGCAGTGCTGTAGTAAAAATGAAATGGCATAATTACGTGGAAGCACTCTGCAAACTTCAAGGAACTATAAAATTAAAGGCATATTATTGTTGTCATTGTCAATGATGAGAACTAAGAACACTGTCTATTCCTAATTAGTTCATGCCACTTGTGATTTCTCGAAATTCCTTCTTTTATCTCAAGATCTAAGGCTATGCTTACATGTATCTTTAAATATTTCTTCTTTCTATAATTATCTGTATTAAACATTGACATTCAAATTTAAGCAATGGGTCGGAGATTTAGCTCAGTGGTTCTGCCACCTGCCTCGCAAGCACAAGGACCCAAGTTCGATCCCCAGTACCAAAAAAAAAATTAAGCACTAATCTGAGAGTGCTTTACTGTTTCCTTTTCTATGCTAATACATTTTCTATTAAATGGCATGGTCAAGAAATGGAACATTCTGTTTAATTGATGAACCTGGTTAAGAGCTGTCTTTTTTAAAGTTTTTTATAAAAAAACAAGAACCAAGATACATCAAGGTACAAGATCCCAATGATGAATGTAACTGTACTGTATACCTAAAATGTACCAATAAACTTAATGAAAAAAAATGTTTTTCATAAGTTTGCAATATATAATGAATATATTCATTGTGGGTTAAAAGTTGTCTTAAAATGAACAATTCTCAAAGCACTGAAATATAATAGTATAGATAAGATTGGAAAGCTCTAATTCACAAGGTACCAGCTTTGTCTTGTACTCTCCATAAGTCCTAATGAAACTAGGTCACCACAAGCATTACTTCTCTGCTCAAGAACAATACATTTTCATCAAAAAAATGAGTCAATTTCATACCTCGATTTGTTGCAGGATATCTATAACCACATCAGGGATGGAAGGGTTGGCATCCAGCTTGGCAGAACAAAGTGAAAGCTGACGAATAAGGCTGCCCAGTTCCCTACACCGAGCAGGAATCGGCTGCTCCCCTCGGTCAGTAAATTGAGTGACAAACATCTGTAAGGCACGAATAGCTCCTCGATGGGCAGCCGCCAGCCTAGACACTGCCCATGACTAGAAATAAACAAGATGTGAGAAGTTATGTCAATATTCAAAACTAACATTAACCCAACCTTTAACAATATTTGTAGTGTGCCTTCTATGTAAAGTGCTTCCTATTGTGCAAGTTTTTCAGAGGACTGTAAAGCTTCTTTAAGTTTTAAAATAGCAAATTAAGTCTTTTCCATTTTTTTGTTGTTTTGTTTTGTTTTGTTTTGTTTGAGATAAGGTCTCACTACATAGTTCAGGCTGGTCTTGAACTCACTATGTAGCTCCAACTGGCCTCCCAGTGATCCTCAGCCTCCCAAGTGCTGGGATTATAGGCATGTGCCACCATGCCCAGAAGTCTTTTCCTTTCTATTCTGTTCTTTTTACTAGCAGCAATAGGAATCTATTTTCAGAACCCATTCCTTAGAAAGCACTTCCATATTCAGAGTATTTAAGGTGCTCATTCTTTAACAGGTTTCTACCAGCACTGAAATAACATTAGTGCAGAGAACCCATATGCAGTACTAATAAAACACTGGAAAACATACTTTATAAATAGGTATTAATCATACTTTAATTACATCATACCTTCTTGGTGTGTTTAGTTTTATGTGGACTCAACTTATCCAATTCTTCCTGGATTTCTTTTACCTGTTTTATAAAGGAGAAAAATGAAAATTTCACACCTTCCCATTGGTCTTTTTTTGTTTTTGTAGAATACTGTATAGCTGTCTTGTGCAAATATAACTATTATTAATTCAATTGAAAATGAGAAAAGGCTCCAGTTCAAGATGGTGAATAGAGCAGTGTTCACCTTCTATCTTTTGGTGCCCAGCGTACGAGGACTTTAACGCGAAGAAGCGATGGTGGAGGTAACTCTTAAAAGGCAGGGGCCAGATCATCATGTCCTACATGCCACTCTAAAGGATTTAGTTTTCATTCTGTAAAGCTGCTCTAGTCTTTTAAGCAACAGCCTAACACGGTAAGTTTCATATTTTAGAACAATCTCTATGGCAGCAGTATAGAATAAGGACCCAAATAGAACTCAAACGAGAATATAGAAGGAAATATAACTCAGGCATTTTCTTTCAAATGAAAAAGTAGTTTTTGGTTCAAGCAATGAAATAACATGACTTCAGTGACCAGGAAGGTGTTAAAGGTTAAAACAAATTTTTCCTTTAAAAATCTATCACAACATAAACAATGCAAATGCTTATTTATCAACCACTATAGATGTCTTGAAAGACATTTAACATAATCTTCATTCTTTTTTTTTTGTTTGGTACTGGGGATTGAACTCGGGTCCTTGCACTTTCGAGGCAGGCAGAGGAACCACTGAGCTAAATCCCGGGCCGGTCTTCATTCTTTATAAACTAGTTTTTTTGGTTTTTGTTTTAGTACTGGGGATTGAACCCAAGGCCTTCAGATGTGCCTCATACCTAGCCCTTTCTTTTTTTCTTATTGACTGATTGATTGAGACAGCCTTGCTAAGATGCTAATTTGCCCACGCTGAACTTTCGATCTTCGTGCTTCAGCTTCCCAGAGTAGTGGGATTACAATCATGTGCCATTGTGCCCAGCCATAGTCTTTATTCTTTGCCATTTAATAAAGGATAATCAAATTATGCTATCTACTTTCTAATAATAAGCCTGTGAACTGAAGGGAAACTAACAAGGTCCCTTCCACAAAGACCAGGGTTTATACCTGTGAACCAAGGGTTTTAGGGTAACTGGTCGACGAGACTTCAATGCACAAGTATGTGCTATGTAACATACAGTATATGCATGTTTTTGAAAGGGGAAAGAAATACAACTTCTACTAGATTTTCAAGAGTCTATAGCCTCAAAGAGGCAAGAGGTTGACGCTTCCCACAAAAAACACACAAATGTAAAGGCAGATGACAAAAAGAATGAGAATTACTCGTTCTTATGTTCAGGAAATTTAACCTCAAAAATCCTTTAGAATTCAGAGGACAGTTTGGGGGCCAATCTTTCTGAGATAAAAAGAAAGCTTAAATTCTCTAAGAAAGCAATACACAAGGCTGACTCTCCCACTTCTCCCTGGGCTTCCACACCTGCTGCTGGAGGACATAAAGCATCCGGGCACAGCGAATAGTCTGCTCCTGTCTCCTGACACGGATCCGCTGCTCTTCATCTGGATCCAAAGCTTCTTCTAGTCTATCTGAAAATATTTTCCCCCAAAAGCAGATTATAAACCACAGAAACTCACAAAAACTTCAGTTACCTAAAGGGTAATAAAGTTGAAGATCTCTAATTTTATTACAAAAAAAATGAAGCTGATGTAACAGAAATTTTCATTTTTCACCAGTGAAGAAACCAGGGATGAGTGAGGGGGCCTGTGTACAGACTCAGAAATGGAAGAGACAAGAAGACAGTGACAAGCTCCTCTCCAAACCAGAATTTCCTCAACCAAATCCCACTGGATGGCTTCTTTACTATGAAGCATTTTGTACTACTTTATGCTTTCTTTTTTTTCAAAAAGCTCTTTATTGAACTACACTGGCTCCTCAATTTACAACCTTCTGGATAAACAAGGAAAATATAGGATCATCTATACTCATGTAAGATTCACACAGCAACTCCAATTTGTAGGCTGGGCCCTCAGTCAGTCCACATATGAAGTATAGCCTACAGTGGGAGAGGGGACAGGCTAGTAGGGCAAACTTTTTAGGGAAAGGTGGCATGGGTCAAACTCCAAACTCAACCATCTTGTCATGAATGCTCATATTTCTAGGGAACCAATACCCAGCAGAATACAATGAAACTTGGTGGGGACTGGAAGGCCCAATGAATCCATCTGAACTGTTATGCACACATGGCATGTTATCAAAGGAAGAATCTAATTTTTCTCACCTTTTTTAGTTACCTCTTCAATTTTATGGATGCAACTGCTCAATTCTTTCTGGAGTCGCTGAACTTCTAGCAGGCTTTTCTGTTCACATAAGTTTTTGTGGTCACTTATCCTGGGCTGTGGATGTGGTCCTGGATCACGGGTAGGTGGCAAATTTGGCATGGTAAGATCTGGCTGTCCATGATGAGATGTGTACACATATACTTTGGCACCTGAGCTGGAAATTCCTATTTCAGATGGCTGGTGGCTACACTGATGGATTTCTTGATTCTTTGAGTCTTTCCTTTCTATCCGGTCAGATATTTTATATTTGGTATGTCCACATTTCTGAGAACTTTGGGGCTGACTTCTGGGATAATGTTCTTTTATAAGTTCTTCAAATTGTCTTCGTTTTACATCTCTTTTGGCTAGGTGGACTGCATAGCTAAGTTTCTCTTCTGATATTACAGAAAATGAAACAGAACTGCTTAGGTCAGGGCCAACTCTAAAATCTGAGTCTTTACAATATGATTCATTATACGAGTGCTTCAGTTTTTCAATTCTAATTGCATGTGGGCAAGAATATCGGATTGCCAAGTTGTTCGGATGTGTAGGAACATTCCTATTAAACTGCAGCTGGTTCTTTAAAATAGTAAGTAAAAGTAAGCACATATTAGAAAAATAACATATTATATAGTTAGTATATATGTATACATAACCAAGTTTCTAATATTTCACTCATAAGATTATTTATGTGAAGAGGTATTTTTCTGTTGTACTAATTAGCCACTTTCCTACACACTTTAGTTCATCACATAGCCTAGGCGAAATCCTACAATCATCCAGTCCTACACTATAATATACTTCTGTTTATTATTACCAACTTGGGAATCTTCCTCTAAGTCAACCTGGAAAACTTCCAGCAGCAACCAATACATTCTTCAACTCCTGATTATGGATTTCTGTCCTGTTTCAAAGTGTCAGGGTCTAGCAAGTGAGCAATACAATCCACTAGAGCTTTCCCAAAAATTGCTCCACACAGCCACACCAGATTGAAGCCATCTGATGACATCTTCTACATCTTTTATCCTGTACCTACATGTACCTTGCTCTAAACAGTTCACTTACCCAACATTTATGCAGATTTAAGTCAGTCTTCATCGTAACACATACAAGCTTTGTTTTTTACACTTTAACATAAGCATGTCCCCACGGTCCTTCCTATAGTTTATAAAAATTATTTTTTATGGTTACATTTTCCAAAAGCCAGAGAATAGTCTTTTCATGCTTAACCTAAATATAATCTTATTATTAAACATTTATATTGTTTAGTTTTTCCAGTGATAGAAATATTACTTCAGCTAATATCTCCATATATTTAGACTTTCATTTCTCCTTTTAAATTATGTCTTTAGGATAAATGATCTGCTCTGGGATTACTAGGTCAAAAGAAATAAACAACTTTGTGGCTTTAAATCTTTTAAATTATTTCAATAGACCTGTCAAAGACAACAGGAGAATGTACATCTCCAAACTCAGTGAATTCTGTCTCATGATGTTTTTATCTTGAAGATGGCTCCCCAACTCTCACTATAAATGTGTTTATAAAATACTCTGGGAAAAAAATGTATAGAAAAACTTCACTAAACAGTGAAAAAAACCTGAAGGGTACACAGACTGATGAACAGTACTTGTAACTTATAGCCTTGTTTGGGGAAAGCCTTTTCTCTAAACATAGAAATAACCTAAAATACCTCAGAAATTTCATGAAAGTACTAGGGGAAAAAAATGGATAAAATACTAGGGGAAAAACAGATGAATTCCTTTTTAATATGGATGCAAGGAAAGTCTTTTTAACGATCACTCAAAAATCCGTATTCAATACAAGATCAATGATGATGTCTCCGTTAAAACAAAATTAAAAACACCTATCCGGTTTAAATAAGCAATAAAGAAAAAAACCCTGAAACACCAGAAGAAAAGCACTTGCAAATACAAGGTGTATTAGTCACTTTCTCATCACTAGGACAAAATACTTGATATCCTAACTTAAAGAAGGAGAGGTTTATTTGGTTCAGTTTCCATTAGGTTCAGTCCATGGTCATCTGGCTCCAAGGTAGAAACAGCATGGTGGAGGGCATCACAAGGGAAGGCTGCTCACACCATGGTAGCCAGGAAGCAAAGAGAGAAGAGAGGAGCCAGGGACCAGAATACAGCCTCTTTCAGGCCACATCCCCAGTGACTCACCTCCTTTCAACCAGACCCCAAGCCAAATGGCACAGTCAACTATGAACTCATCAATTGACTAATCCAATGAAGACTATATCGCCCCCATGATCCAACCACCTTCCAAAAGCCCCACCTCTGAACATAAGACTTTTAGAGACATTTTTTTTTTTTATCTAAATCATTACAAAAGGAATTCCTGGTCTGGGGATATAGTTCAGTGGTACAGCACTTGCTTAGCACGTGATAGGCCCTGGGTTCAATTCCCAGCACCACAAATACAACAGGAAGCAAACAACAACAACAAAGAATATATTTGCTATGCAGTATACTGCTGAGCTCTTCGAAAGGGATTCCTATGCATGAAGAAATCTTTAAAAATTGAAGTGAGAGGGCCAGGGATGTAGCTCAGCAGTGCAGTGCCTGCCTAGTCAGCGAGAGGCCCTGAGTTTGATTCGTGGTACAAAAAAAAAAAAAAAAAAAGTTGAGATAAGAAAATAAAACTCAATAGAAAATGGGAAAAACACAGAGCAGACAATTTACCAAAAAGATATAAACGTGGCCCTTAAATATATAAAAAACTGTTCAACTTCATAAAATATAAATAAAAATCACACTGAAATACCATGTATTTCCAAAAGATAAACAAATATTTAAAAGTTTAACAATACATGCTGTTGGTGAGTGCTAGCAGAAGACAAACTGGCACATCTCTTTTTTTTTGGTACTGGGGATCAAACTCAGGACCTTGTGCTTGTGAGGCAGGCAGCGGCACCACTGAGCTAAATCCCGGGCCCTTAGCACATTTCTTCCTTGGGGAATTTTGGGTGAATTCATTCGTCTTTTACCTAGCAGTCTCATTTCTAGAATTTATCCTCAGATACACCTTCAATGATACATAAGCTTGCTCATAGCTGTACTGCTTGTAATTAGAAATTACTGGAATCAATCTACATGCCTATATAAATGCCTGAATAAAAGTGAAGTTACAATTACAATGAAAAAAATGAGGAAGCTCTCAAAGAACATCTCTATGAATTGATGTGAAGAGATTTCTTGGATATATTGTTCAAATAAAACAACAAAATACGAAAATATCTGTAGTATGTTACAGATATATGTAAGGAAAAAAGAGTTCATAAGAGAAAATATACATGCATCTGATCATTTGTGCAAAACAAAAGGACAGGAAATAAAAAATTCAAGACTAATGAAATTAGTTATCTACAAGACGTGAGTGAGAACTGGGAGGAAGGGATAGAAGGAATGGGGTGGAGGATAACACTTTTCCGATATATCTTTTGTAAAGGTATATTTGGATCCATGTTAGTATTTCACATATACATGAGATACATAAAGGAAAGAAAAAAAATGAAGTGAGGAAAGAGGGAAGAAAATAAACAAAATCCTTAAGAATTGAAGAAAATCCTAAAAATAAATACAAACAGAAACCAATGAACCAGACTATATTTCAAATGAACCACCACTAAACCACTAAATGTGAAGGTGAAAAAAAAAGGTAACTTCAATAAACTTTTGAACACAGCATTTGGACTATATGCCCTTGGGCTAAAAACAAAAAGTACTCTAAGCAAATACTGGACTCTATTTGGAGTCTTCTTTTTATCAGAGGTATGCATTGCAATTCTAAAATTATTTTTTTATACTCTAGGACTGAGCGATTAAATAAATGTATTGTGGAAAATGGAAGCCAAATTTCATACTCTAGAACAAGGCAGTTCCAAATATGAAATAGTAGATTAGAATTGGGGAGATCTGTGTGAATTCATGAGTTTTCATATAGAGAGAAAAGCAGACAGATACATAGAAAAGAAAGGTGGAGCCCAGTGCGATGATGCACGCCTGTATCTCAGCACCTGAGAGGCCTGAGGCAGGAGGATCGCCATGAACTCAAGGCCAGCCTAGGCTACATAGTGAGTTCAAGGCCAGCCTAAACTACATAACAAGACACCATCTTAAAAAAAAAAAAAAAAAGCAAAAGAAAGGAAAGGTAGGAGGGAAAAATGAGAATGACAAAGAGAAGGAGATAGACAGAGACAGAGGCATACCTGTATGAATGTATATCTGCATATGAATGTGTAAAAAATATGAAGTGTAAAAATCCATTTGCCAGTTCTGTCCTCTAAGAGGACCTAGGAGGAATGACACACCAGTATTAATAAATATATCTAGTCCTAGTATTGATTTTTAAGTTCTATTTTCTACTAAAGGGACAAAGGTTCCTTAAATAAATGGCTAATTTCAGGGCTACCTTAGGAAAAAAAAACAACAAGCTGGAGTACATTTTTATACCATAAAGTGGTATGAAAGATTAATGAAACTAAGCTAAAGAGACCAGGGGCCAGTTTGAAGTAGTTCTCATTAACCAAATCAGAGACCATTTGAACATCAAAATAAATATTTTCATATCAAAATAATGATAATAAAGAATTATAAACTGTACAACAAAGAAAATCTAAGCATCTGCAGTGAAATAAGTGAGAAGAAAATGGACTGTTCTTCTTTACAGCAGTAAGCCAACAAATAAGTGTAGAAGAATGAAATTAGGAAATCACCATTCTGAATGCTAAAACTAACAAGTGAAAGTTTTATGAGTAAAAAGATATTAACGTAGTCTCAAAGGCAGACACTTCTAATTACAAAAGGTAAAAAAGCAACTTTACAATGGAAAAACCTGGCAGATACTGCCTTAATGAAATGATTAAAGTCAACATTGACAGCAACTGATACAATATATTTCCTGATACCGTACACTGCAGAATGCACAAGTGCTTAGCATTGTGTTGGTAGTTTCCTTGCCAAAAGTACTTAATCTGAATATAATTATGAGAAGACAGCAGACAAACCAAAACTGATAGAAAATCCTCAAATAAACTGGATGGTAGTCTTCAAGAATGCCAATGTTATACAACATAAAAAAGGCTCAGAAATCAGACTGAAAGAAACTAGAGTCAGTAGTATTGACCACTCATCATCTTGGATTTTCTTTTGCTCTAAAGGATATTACTGCAATAGCTAACAAAATCTCAACAAAAGTCTGTAGCATATATAATAGTATATATTAATGTTAATTTCCTGATTTTGATAATTATAGTAAGAGAATTCCTTGATTTTAGGAGACAGAAGTACTCCGGGACAAAACAGCAGCATGTCTAAAATTTACTCTTAAATAGTTCAGAAAATAATGTGTGCAGAGAGAGGAAATATATAATAAAATTCTAGTGTTTGGAGAATCTAGGAAAAGAATATCTATGAATTCTGAATATTGTTCTTGAAAATCTCCTGTCAATCAGAAATTATGTTAAAATTAAAATATTTTTTCTTTGTAAACAATGAGATATTACTATATAACCACCAGAATGCCTACAATTAAAAAGATAACAGCAAGTATTGACAAAGATGTGAAGCAACTGGAGCTCTCATACACTGTTTTAGTAGGAAAGTGAAATGGTACTACCACTTAGTAAAAGGTCCAATTGTTTATTATAAAACTAAATATACATCGACCCCATGACCCAGTTAATTTTACTTTTAGGTCATTTATCCAAGAGAAATGGAAACACATTCATAAAAAGATCTGTAGAAGCCAAATGTGGTGGTGCATTTTGTAATTAGAGCTACTTGTGAGGCAGAGGCAGGAAATTTGCATGTTTGACACCAGCCTAGGCAACTTAGGCAGACCCTGTCTCAAAATAAAAAATATAGAGGACTGAGGATGTAGTTCAGTGGTAGAGTGCTTGCCCAGTGTGCATGAAGCCTAGGTTCAATCCTTCATGCCACATATATGGAAAGATCTGTACAAGAATGTTCACAGTACCTTACAGATAGAATAATCCCAAACTGGAAATAGCCCAGGTGTCCATCAATTAACGAATGGATGAACAAACTGTTACACTCATGCTATAGAATTAGTAATAGGACTAAAAAGAAACAAACAAACTGATAATGCAATATACTTGCAATATACTGAGATGAATCTTAAAATCTTTATGTCTAGCTGGGTATGATAGTGCATGCCTGTAATCCCAGCACTCAGGAAGCAGAGGGAGGAAGATTACTGTGAGTTTGAGGCCAGCCTGGGCTACATAGTGAGTTTAAGGACATTCTGAACTACATAGTGAGACCCTGCCTGAAAAGAAAAGAAAAACAATCTTTATACCTAGTAAAAGAAACCTCACACAAGAATTTGCATTACATGTTCTCATTTATATGAAGTTCTAGAATAGGCAAAATTAATTTATGATGGAAAACACCAAAATAATGGTTTCATCTAGAGGGTAGGAGTAGGGATTGTTTAAGGAAGGAGCATTTGAGAACTTTCTAGGGTGACATAAATGATCTGTATTTTCAAAGGTGTGGGTTACACATGTGCACGTATTTATCAACTCAGTAAACATGACAACGTACACATTTCAATGTACTCATTTTTATGTAAAATTTACATCAAAGAAAAAACTAGCAAAGAATGAATAAAAATATACAACATACATGCAGAAGTAGGGTACTCATTTCTACAATTGACTTTGAAATGTGTCAAAAAGAATGGCTTAAAGGATGAATCTCTTGGAGGGATGGATCAATGTCTTGGAAGGACAGACAATATTTCACATATAGTGAAACATTAATGGAATCTAGGTGTCCACTGTGACATTCAACTTTGCTGTATGTTTGAAGATTTTCATAATATAATGTTGGGGGAAAGATATTCTGGGGACAACTGAGTAAAACTGAATAAAAACTGGCTATTAGATAATTTTAGAGAATTATTTTCTGCTCATTTTCTTAGGTGTGATAATGGTAGGGGTCTTTAGAAGCCATTAGATAATTTTGGAGAATTATCTTCCGTTCATTTTCTTAGGTGTGATAATGGTATGGGTTTTTAGAAGAATTCTTAAATATTTAAAAATAAAGTGTCATAAGATATACTTACTTTGGTATGGTTTACCAAAAATTTTAGAGATGGCTGGAAGATAGGAAAATAGAACAAATTGCTAACAACTGCTGAATTTAACTTTTTTGGTTTTTTTTACTTTTTGAGACAGGGTCTCACTACGTAGTACCAGCTGACCTTGAACTCACCGTGTAGCCCAGGCTGATCTCAAACTCATAGGAATCCTCCTGCCTCAGCCTGCTGAATGCTGGGATATAGGCGTGCACCACCATGACCAGCTTAACAATTGCTGAATGTAGACGGTGGTTTCAAAAGTGTTCAATGTCCTCTTCTTTCAATTTTTCTTTGTGTTTGAAATATTTTGTAATAAACAGCTGAAGAAAAACAAAACTACCTGAGTCTGAAGTTTCCTGGGGTCACTTGTCCCATCTACTTGGGTACAGGATGTGAGGTGGACACAGGTGGAAGCTGGCTGGCTCAGTCCCATCATGTCAGATAGTGTAGAATAACAGCAAAGACCTCATCAGGCAAGTAAGTATTCACTGACACCATTCCTAAAATGAAACAGAGTTATATTCACATCAACAGCCTTCAAACTAGAGAATAGATAAAAACAAAGTATCATGCTCATATAATATTCTAGAAGTAACCCATAGCAATTGCATACTAAAAGTGATTGCTTAGAGAGACAGGTATGAGTTTCTTCCATTTATAAAAACAACCACACTTTTGAAATTCTCAGTTTCAAAAAAGTGGTAAGACACTATTTTAAAAGCAATCACTTGGGCCTTTTCCTTCCAAATTTCAGCATTCAAGGGTCTCCAGTAAGATATTATTCCTAAAACAGAACTCTGCTATTATAAACTAACAGTTTAAATAGCAGGGCAAGTTTATGGACATACATTCTACATTTACAATTACTAGCGTCTAGCCAAAAAGCAGTATGGTTCATCCTATCAAGTGGCCCAAAACACTCTGTGTGATTCTAAATAAACCTGAGGAATCAGAATTCCCAGACTTAAACCAGGGTCTGCCATTAACTAGCTGAAAGGCCGTAAATCTTCCCCCACCCTATACACATACTCTAAATGAGATCACAGATATTAAAAGTGCAAGGACCTGAGTTTGATCCCCGGTACCAAGAAAAAAAGCAAATAAAAGCATTTAGTAAACTGAAAGGGACTATGCCCTTATCATTGCCTCTCTTTTTCTGAAGGCTTCGTAACTTCAATAGCCCTGCCATTTAGGTGCTCATTAAAATGTTATCTCTTATTGTTATTTACCTATTTCGCAGGAATATGTCTCATCTTGCCAGTGAGACAAGGTTCCTTGAGGGTTAAGGGCCTTGTCTTGCTCATCAATTTCCCACAACACAGTACTCTGAGCATAGTAGACAATTTAATTCAACATTTGTAGAGTTAAGCTGATTTTCTGAGAACAGACTAGTTTTAAATACACTGGAGAATTTGTTCTCTCAAAGAATCCTATAGTAAATCAACTGGGAAATTCAAAGTTGAAAAATTCCTAACTTAAGCCTTTGAATAAATCCAAGCTTTGCAGACTGGATTGCTTAAAGATAGAGTTATCTGTAGGAACCTAAAGACAGCTGTCCAATATTCCTTATTCTTAAGACTACAAGACTAGATGGAAAAAGCAGATGGGAGGAACCACATAAGGGAGGCAATCCCAACTGGCTTGACATCACCACAGGTCAGGGGCTGAAGCTGCAGAATAGGCTGTCAATGTGAGGGCAGAGCATCTTCAACTTTTATGTAGCCAGTACTTTCCCCCAGGATGCTTCCATATGCAAAAGGCCCAAAAGGCCATTCTCCAGCAGGAAAAAACTACACGTCCCCAGAGTTCCTAAATACCTCAAGCGATCACACACACACACACACACACACACACACACACACACACACTGTACACAGAGTCCAGGGACACACCCACCCCAACTGTTCCCTTATACAAAATCCTGGGATACCCCTTCTTGCAGTTAGCCCATTTCCCGACTGTTCCAAGAAGCCTCCCAGTTTGTCACCCTACATACTCTGGGAGATATCCACAAAGTACTTCCCCCCATCCTGACATCTCTACAACCTGTCCCTTCACCCACAATTCAGGACAACATACCCCCAGCCTGTTCCCTCCCACAGAGCCCCCAGGACACCCCCAACTTGTTCCCTACACCTCTCTCAATCCATCCTCCCCCACACAATTCTCTGTCAAATCATTCCCCCTCACTCTGATTGCAGACACTTCTCTGACCTGCCTCCTCCCACTCTGCTGTGGGTGCTCTCTAAAATGACTGGGGCCTACTTCCTCCCTTGCAACTGGGGGCACTGCCACAGCCATTCTTAACCCAGACACTCTGGGAACATTCTCGTGGGCTGTTTCTTCCCCCACAGACGGTCGACAGCTCCAGAACCTGGCACCAGGGCCACAGGTATAAGACACCCCCACAGCCTGGCCCCTTCCTACCATTCCCAGGACATTCCTACCTCCTGTCTGCTCCCTTGAAGGCTCAGCTCTCTCTGTGGACTGTCTGTTCACTTCGGTCAGGCCTGAGATACCCACATCTACTTCTCCCGAGGACCCAGTCACCTCGACTGCAGCAGGCACACACCCTGCCATGGGAACTCCTACAGCTCCAACCCTCCCCAGTGGCACTGGCATCCTCGAAGCCTCAGAGGAGGGTCCACTGTGCCTTTTCCACAGGCATGAGACATCTTCAGAGCCTGTCTCCTCCTCCACAGATCCAGGACCCTTGGCAGCAGCAGGAGCCTCAGTGGTGTGTCTCCTTCTCCATGTGCCTGAGCCATCCCCAAAGGTACTTTCCCTCACCATCCGGGGCCTATGGACACTAGAAGCTGTGGGCTCTCCCATGGCCATGGAAAGTCTAGCAGCCACAGGCATCCCAGAAGTCTGCCTTTTTCCTGAGAAGCCCAAGACACCCTCAGAGAGTGTCTCCTCCACCATGGGCTCAGACAGTCCCACAGCCATGGACATCCCTGTAGTCTGCCTGCTTCCTGACAAGGCTGAGATGCACCCAGAACCAGTCATCTCTCCCATGGGCCCAGGCATCCTGGCATAAGTGGACACCCCCATCCTTGTGGAACTTTTGGCATCTGCCTGTCTCTCCTGGCACAAGCCTGAGCCACTTCCAGAGCCAGTTTCTTCCCACACAGGCCTAGGCACCCTGGAAGCCACACGTCTCCCACCGGCTGGGAATACATCCAGAGTCACAGGTATTCCTACAATGTGTCTCCTTTCTGGTGAGCCTGAGAAATCCCCAGAGCCAGTCTCTACATCCAGAGGACCAGGTGCCTCAGGAGCCACTGGAACCCTGAGAGCCTGTCTGCTTCCCTGGGAACCTGGGAAAGCTCCAGAACTAGGATCCTCTCCCACAGACCACAGCTCCTCAGGAGCCAGAGTCCCCCCTGAATCCCCAGATATTCCGACAGCATGAGCTCCTTCCCACAGGTTCAAAATATCTCTAGAGCTGCTCTCCTGACACATGGGTCCAGACACCCACACAGCAGCAGGCACCCTTCCAGACCTAGGTGCACCCAGAGCTGTGGGTACCCCTGCTGGGGAAGACCTGTGCCTGGCCACATCTGCTGCCTTGGGCATCCTCACCGTCTCAGATACTCCAAGAGCCTGCCTTCTCCCACAGAGACATGAGACCATTCCATAGCCTGCCTCTTCAACCATTGGCCCAGCTGCCCCTAAAGCTCCAGGCACCAAAGCCTCCTGTTCCCCCATGGCTTGCCTCCTTTCCCACAGGCTCAGGACATTCCCACTGTGTGTCTCTTCCACCAACTCAGCCAGAGGAGTTCCCAGAACCTGTTGCCTCTCCCACAAGTCTGGGCCACCACCATAGCTGGTGTCTTCATCCCTGGCTTCAGGTAGCACCAGAGCCTGGGACACCCCTGGCAGCTGTCCTGTTCCCCACAGCCCTGGGACACTCACATAGTCTGTCTCCTTCCCCAAAGTCCTGGGTATCCCCATGGCCTGTTCTATACCCCACAGGTCCTGGGGTACCTGCTGAGAACTTGCCTCCTGCTCCCCAAGGCCAGATGGTTCTACAGCCCGTGCAGCTTCCCGTGACACTGGGTCACCACCAGAGCCCATCTCTACCCACATATCCTGTCCCTTTTCCCTGATTCCTAGATCACCCCCACATCTAGTTTCCTCTTTAGTAGTAGCACAAGGCACCCCTACAAGCTGTCCTGTGCCCCATACGCCAGGGAGAGCTTCAGAGCTTATACCTTCTACCTCTTGTCTCCTTTGCCACATGCCTGGAGCACACACAGATGTAGTTTCCTCCTCCACAGCTCTGGGTACCATCACAGCATCAAGGTTCTCTGTAGCCTGTCCCCTTCTCCATAAGCCTGGGGTATCCCCACAGACTGCCTCTTGTCCCAGAGCCCCAGGAACCTGCACTGACTGTCCTCTCCCCCACTGATATGGAGCAGTCTCACAGCCCATCTTCATCTCAATAGCCTCAGGCTGCCCTACAATCTGGGGTCCTTCCCAAGGACTTGAGATAAGCGCACAGCCTAACTCTTCCATAGCTCCAGGATCAACTACAGGAGGAGGCACCTTCCCAGCCTGTCTGTGCCCACAGGAGCCTGAGGCTCTCTCACTACCTGGCCCTAACCCCGTGGCTGTGGACAGTCCTGAGACCTGGGGGAATGCCCTAACCTGTCCTCTCACCCACGGTCCCGTGACTCCGCCTCGGCTTGTTTCTACCCAGGAGGCTCGGCCAGGGATACCCTTTTCGACTGGCCCTTCTCCTGCAGGCATAGGATGGAGTTCCACTCTACTTCCTACCCCACATCCTGAAGCGGCCCTCATAGCCTGTACCTTTAACCACAGTTCCAGAATGCTCTCATGCCCCATGGCCCTCGGGCGACCTTTTTCAGAGGCCCGGGGATTGCTATCGTCTGCCTCCTCTTCCTCAGATCTAGTCACCCACACAGACCCAGCAGGCCCCACCACCTCAGGCTCGCCCACAGCACCGTTCACCCACACAGCCTTGGGATCCCTTGCAGCCTCAATGGAGCCTGCAGTCCCAGGCGTCCCCAGAGTCTCGTTCTCCCCAGCTGCGTCGGCAATCTCCGCAGCCTGCCTCTTCCTCCACAGTCGCTGACAGTCCTGCAGCCTTTCTGCACTCTTACGCCACGTTTTCCATATTGAAGACCTCGCCCTGCGCCTAGCTCCACAGCCTCGGGATGCCCCTGTACCCCATCTCCTTCCCCACGGCAGCCCGGACCTGCTGGGCCCTACACAGTGACCCGGTATCTTCGCCGCTAACTCGCCCCGGCTCGGCCTCAGTAAGGCCCCGGGGCCAGTCGCCCTACTCATAGCTCCAGGACAATTCCCTTTGGCAACGTAGACCCGGGGCACTTTCCGTTTTATCATCCGGCCCCCTACACTGCTCCACGCAAGCACTCACACACTCAGCTCCCGCTCTCGCAGCCTTTCTCTCCTTCCCAGCCCCCCC